GGAATACCATATGAAAATCCTTCAAGATTGCTGTAAAAATGTTAAAAATACCAAAAAACAGTGAATAGCCCTAAGGCAGCCTTCTGGAATGCAGCACATGTTTCTGTCTTGATTTGGGTGATGATTACATGGGAGCATGAGGAAAATTCATCAAGCTGTACACTTAGAAATTTTGTACACTTTGCTGACTGCATTTACAATTCAATAAAGAGTATTTTTTAATAAACAGCAATCAGAATAGGACTTTAAAGTGAGTATAATTAATATTCTCAAAAAGATAAGGGAGTATGCCGCAACCATAAAACATGAATAAGCAGTCATGGAAAACAGCAAACCACAGATTGAGGGCAAAAACTCAAATTTAAAAACTCAGTGGGCTAAAGAGCTGAGTAGACCTTGAGGAATAAATTCGTGACTTAAAAGACTGAGTTTAAAAATGCTTACAGAAGATGGCACAGAGAGGCGAAATAAAAGAAAAGTGAAGAGACTCGGAGGACAGATCAAGATGTGTCTCTATCTTTTAGAGGGAGCTTAAGAGAAGAAATGAGAAAATGTAGGAAACAGCATTTAAATAATAGCTAAATGTTTACTAGAACGAAAACAGAAAACTGCTTCAAAAATATTTTTGCTTTTTCCTTTTAAAGAACCTTGGTCTCACTCTGTCAGGTAAGAGAACAGTAGTATAATCATGGCTCACTGCAAACTCAAACTCCCAGCCTCAAGCAATCCTCCTGCCTCAGTCTCCTAAGTAGCTGAAATTAAAGGCCTGTGCCTCATGCCCAGCTAATATATTTATTCATTTATTTTTTATAGAGAATGGGTGTCTTGCTATGTTTCCCAAGCTGGTCTGAAACTCCTGGCCTCAAGTGATTCTCCCATCTTGTCCTCCCCAAACTGCTGGGATTTACAGGTATGAGCCACTGCGCATAGCAAAAAAAAAAAAAAAAAAAAAAAAAAAATTAATTAGTTATTTAAAGCAATCTGCATGGATGGAAGGAAACACACCACCATTTTAGGAGACATTATCTCCTGAATGTGCAATTTGAATGACTGTACAATTTAAGTGATCCTTGTTGTTTTCTATATTTTTCAAGATTTCTACAATGAATATAACTTTTACAATCAGGAAAAGTAAAAGTTTATTTTTGTAAGATGAACCCAGAACCAGAAGACAAGGAAGGTTTTTTCAAAAACCCCTAACTTCTCTTTCCTCTGACTTATGAATATGATTTTTAAAATCAGAAAAAGTAAAAGTTCATTTTTATAAGATGAACCTAGAACCAAAAGACAAGAAAGGTTTTTTGAAAACTCCTTAACTTCTCTTTCCTCTGACTTATGCTATTACAATGAACCTGTTTCTGTTAAGTGGTCACAACAAACTTGAACAAGTCATTCAGTCTCTGAATTTCTGCTTCTGTAGGCCTGAAACAGAAACAATAAAATCCCTCCTTTCTACCTCCCCATGTTCTGGGGAACATCAAATGAGATGGTGTACAAAAATAGCTTTCGGTAAACCATAAAGCACTGTACAAATTGTGGCGTGTTATCACAGTCCTTCTAAGCTGGTAAAACCCAACCTCTGAGTCACCCTCCACTCTCCACCCCTTCACTCACTAAATCCACTCTGTCACTAGTCTGTCAGTTTTTCCCTCCCTTATTCCCTCCTTTCCAAAACCACAGCACTAAGTTAGTCATACCTTGTGCCCAAACCACTGCAATAGGTCCTGGATAATGCCCCACCTCTAGCTTTCCCTTGCCCCTCCTAATGCAATTGTTGCCTGAAACCTAATCTTCATGAAATATGTTTATCCTTTGACTACCCTGCTGAAAATGAAATGTCTTTGGGAGTTCTCTCAGGTTTACAGGATGGACTTCAAACTCCTCAACATGGCTTTTAGAACTTCCCTCCTAACCCTGGTCAGGCGCCTCGTAATTGGAACATGCACCCAACTCCCACACCCTTCCCTTATCCTGAGATGTATTTTCCACTTATCCACATCCTCCCAGTCTTTTAAACCCGGGTCAAACCTCTCCCTCCTTTCCTCTTGCTGTACCTTATGACCAATCCAGACCAAGCTCCTGCCTCCATGATCCATCCCTCAAGGTGCCATCATCACTTCCAGGTCAGCACCTTTCCAGAAAGGACTACTTGTTTCCTGAGAGCAGGGCCTACTGTCCTTCTACAGCTTCTATAATAGGCACTCAAATTGACCTGATAAAAATTTAAGTCCTTAAAATAAACGTTATTTGCCTAAACTAATTTTATATTGTGTTAACATCTATGTATACATTACTATATATTGTTTAGCTATTAATCTCTTTTTTTGTTGTTAGAGATGGGGTCTTGCTATGTTGTCCAGGCTCATCTCAAAATCCTGGCCTGGACAACATAGCAAGACCCCATCTCTAAGAACAAAGTAATCCTCCTGCCTCAGCCTCCCAAAGTGCTGGGATTACAGGTGTGAGCCACCACTCTCATACTATTAATGTTTAAATAAAAAGAATCATAGCTTATAAATGTTTTTGATGGCTTCTTCTTTCTCTCCACATTGTTTCTGAGATTTATCAGTTAATACCAAGAGCTGTAATCCATTTTTTTCACAGTTGTAAAGTATTCCTTTCTTTGAACATATCACAACTTGTTTATCCGTCATGTTGTTAACGGACATTTGGGTTTTACAGTAAAGTTTGGAATTAAAAGTAATCTGCTCTGAAAATCTTCAAACATGTATCCAGTAAAGACAGCTTCTAGGAGAGAAGCTGCTATGTCACAGGCTCACATGTTTAACTCTACCTGTAATGACAATGGGTTTCCCTAGTGGTTGAACTAATTTATGCTTCTACCTAATGTTGAGCGGTTCCTAAAACTACTGTCAGTCTTTTAAATGCCTGCCAATTTGATGGGTATGTTATTTCATTGTGGGTTTAATTTGCATTTCTCCCATGAGGTTGAACATCTTTTCATATACTTATTAGCTATTTGATTTCCTCTCATTGCCGTGTCTGTCCCAACCTTTCCCAATTTTTCAACTGGGCTCTAGTTTTCTTAGTGACTTTTATAAGTTCTTTGAGTACTAATCCTTTATTGGTATTATGCATTGCAAATACCTTCTTCCAGTCTGTGACTTTCCTTTTTACTCTCTTCTGAAGAGAAGTTCTTTATTTTAACATAGTTGAATTTATTAACCATTTCCTTTATGTAAATGCCTTGTGTAACTTGGTTAATCAGTCCTTCCCTACCCAGAGGTCATCATAATGTTTATACTTCCTTTTAATTAAAAAGTATTAAAATAAAAACTTTAAAAAGTAATACAGAAAATGAACAATAAGCACACAAAAAAGTACTAAAAATCATTAGCTATCAAGGAAATGAAACTCAAAACCACAATGAGATACCACTGCACACCCACCAGAATAACTAAAATTAAAATGTTGATTAACACCAAATGACGGGAAGGATGTAGAGTAAATGAACTTTTATTACATGTTGCTGGCATGCGTGTAATATTGGATCACTATTTTGGGAAAAGGTCAAGCAGTTTCTTAAAAAGCTACACATATACAGCTGGGTACGGTCGCTCACACCTGTAATCCCAGCACTTTGAGAGGCCAAGGCAGGCGGATCACCTGAGGTTGGGAGTTCACTGCTTATAACTGTTGTTAGTGGAGACATGGAGAAACCCCAACTCTACTAAAAATACAAAATTAGCCAGGTGTGGTGGCGCATGCCTGTAATCCCAGCTACTCAGGAGCCTGAGGAAGGACAATGACTTGGAACTAGCAAGCAGAGGTTGCAGCATTGCACTCCAGCCTGGGCAACAAGAGTGTAATTCCGTCTCAAAAGAAAATAAAAAAAAAGTTACACAAGTTACGCATATACCTATCCTACGACGCAGCAATTCCACTTCTTGGTATTTGACCAAGACGAACAAAAGTGTATTTCCACAAAATAATTTATACGAGACTACTCATAGTAGCTTTAGTCACCATAGCCAAAAATTGCAAACAGCCCTAGCATCCATTAACAAAAAAATGGATAAGTGAATTGTGGTTTATTCATATAACAGACTACTTTAATTAGACAGAAAAAAGAACAAACTACTGACTCATACAGCATAGAAAAATCTCAAAAACATTATGCTGAGTGAAATAAGCCTTACAAGAAAAGAATAACCTAGACTTTAAGGTTATATTTATATGAAATCTAGAATAGGCAAAAAAAACTTATAATGAAAAAAATTGAGAACACTGGTTACTGGTCGCTGGGGGTAAGAACGCAGAAGGAGCACAATAGAACTCTTGAAAGTGATTATAATATTGCGTAATTCTAGGCAGGGTGCAGTGGCTGAAGTCTATAATCCCAGCACTTTGGGAGGCCAAAGTGGGTGGATCACTAGGTCAAGAGATCGAGACCATCCTGGTCGATATGGTGAAACCCCATCTCTACTATAAATACAAAAAGAAAATTAGCTGGGCACAGTGGCACGTGTCTGTAATCCCAGCTACTCGGAAAACTGAGGCAGGAGAAATGCTTGAATGCAGTAGGTGGACGCTGCAGCAATCTGAGATCACACCACTGCACTGTAGCCTGGAGACAGAGAGACTGTCTCAAAAACAAAACTAAACTAAAAAAATAAACCAGATGTCAAACAGTTATGAAGTCACGGGCCCCAAATGGAGCACAGGGGATGCTTGCAGAAAAGGCAGTGGGTTTGGAATATTTAGCAAGTGTCTATGCTGGCTGGGAAATACAAAATTATTCTTCAAGAAGAAAATGTTGCTACTGAGAAATAGCCCACGACCAGATTGTAAGTTATGCCATCTTTTGACTGACATCGTCACGTCAATCAGGCCTCGGTTGGTCAAACTCCACTGACTGGTCGCTAGAGTCCATGACAACTGAGGTCTGATTCACAATGGCAGTCAAAAATGGTATTCACTTGATATTCCAGAGGCCCCAGAAAAAACATTTCTCTTCGAGACAAAGAAATGCATCTTACCACATCACGGGGCATCTCAGAATCTTCGATGTCTTCTATTATGAGGTCCTGTAGTATCTCAACAGGACCTAAGGGAACACAGAGTGACAGTCAGCGCATTGGTGCTGCTGAGGAATCTCACAAGGAGCTTTGGGAAATGTGGACCGGGCTGGAGTGTGTGGAGCTGGGCGTTTGACAAGCATGGACCGAGCTGCTGCTGGACCATTCTCCTTGGTGCCAAAGGAAGGAAAAGCAGAGGGGCAGAAAGGAATGAAAGTGCCTTGGCTTCCTAGCTAGGGCAACCTCATCAATGTGAAATCGTCATTTGAAGAACTGGATCATACAGAAAGGCAGTGTACTATACAAACAGGAGGTAGATTAGGGCTGCCTAGAACCAGGGGTGTGGGGCGTTGGGGAAAACAGAGGAGTCACTACTGAGGGGGTGTTCTGAGAGGGAACCAAGAGCTTCTAAAATTAGATTCTAACAATGGTTGCACTACCCTGTCAATACAGTAAAAACACTGAATCACCTACTTTAAATGGGTGAATTGGTTTGCATGTCAACTACGTCTCAGTAACTGTTTAAAAGAAACAGAATACGTACGATGGTGATACTGGGCCGCACGCTCCTCCTGCAGTAAGAGAAAAAGAAAGCCCATGAGGATTACATCATGCTGGGTCCTGTTGGCACAGGTCTTGTATTCACTTGGTGACATAAGAAAACCAGATGGCAGGCCGGGCGCGGTGGCTCACGCATGTAATCCCAGCATGCGTGGAGGCCGAGACAGGCAGATCATCAGGGCAAGAGATCAAGACTATCCTGGACAACATGGTGAAACCCCATATCTCTATTAATAACTACAAAAAAGATGGGTGTGGTGGTGGTGAGAGCCTGCAGTCCCAGCTACTCCAGAGGCCGAGGCAGGAGAAATGCTTGAACGCAGTAGGTGGACGCTGCAGTGATCTGAGATCACACCACTGCACTGTAGCCTGGAGACAGAGAGACTCTGTCTCAAAAACGAAACTAAACTAAAATATAAACCAGATGTCAAACAGTTATGAAGTCACGGGCCCCAAATGGAGCACAGGGGATGCTTGCAGAAAAGGCAGTGGGTTTGGAATATTTAGCAAGTGTCTATGCTGGCTGGGAAATACAAAATTATTCTTCAAGAAGAAAATGTTGCTACTGAGAAATATGCCCATGACCAGATTGTAAGTTATGCCATCTTTTGACTGACATCGTCACGTCAATCAGGCCTCGGTTGGTCAGAAACTCCACTGACTGGTCGCTAGAGTCCATGACAACTGAGGTCTGATTCACAATGGCAGTCAAAAATGGTATTCACTTGATATTCCAGAGGCCCCAGAAAAAACATTTCTCTTCGAGACAAAGAAATGCATCTTACCACATCAGGGGGCATCTCGGAATCTTCGATGTCTTCTATTATGAGGTCCTGTAGTATCTCAACAGGACCTAAGGGAACACAGAGTGACAGTCAGCACATTGGTGCTGCTGAGGAATCTCACAAGGAGCTTTGGGAAATGTGGACCGGGCTGGAGTGTGTGGAGCTGGGCGTTTGACAAGCATGGACCGAGCTGCTGCTGGACCATTCTCCTTGGTGCCAAGGGAAGAAATAGCAGAGGGGCAGAAAGGAATGAAAGCGCCTTGGCTTCCTAGCTAGGGCAACCTCATCAATGTGAAATCGTCATTTGAAGAACCAGATCATACAGAAAGGCAGTGTACTATACAAACAGGAGGTAGATTAGGGCTGCCTAGAACCAGGGGTGTGGGGCGTTGGGGAAAACAGAGGAGTCACTACTGAGGGGGTGTTCTGAGAGGGAACCAAGAGCTTCTAAAATTAGATTCTAACAATGGTTGCACTACCCTGTCAATACAGTCAAAACACTGAATCACCTACTTTAAATGGGTGAATTGGTTTGGATGTCAACTACATTTCAGTAACTGTTTAAAAGAAACAGAATACGTACGGCGGTGAAAGAGGGTCGCAGGCTTCTCCTGCAATAAGACGAAAACACCATGAGGCTGGGTCCTGTTGGCACAGGTCTTGTATTCACTTGGTGACACTAGAAAACCAGATGGCAGGCCGGGCGCTGTGGCTCACACATGTAATCCCAGCATGTTGGGAGGCCAATGAGGGCAGATCATGAGGTCAAGAGATTGAGACCATCCTGGCCAACATGGTGAAATCCTGACTCTACTAAAAACTACAAGAAACCCAGCATGGTGGTGGCATGAGTCTGTAGTACCAGCTACTCAGGAGACTGAGGCAGGAGAATTGCTTGAACCCATTACCTGCAGGTGATCTAAGATCACACCACTGCACTGTAGCCAGGTGACAGAAAAAGTTTCTGTTTCAAAACAACAGCAAATAAACCAGATGTAGAACAGTGATCAAGTCACTGGCCCCAGATGACGCATACAGGATGCTTGCAGAAAATGCAATGCATTTGGAAAATTTAGCAGGTGTCTATGTTCTCTAGGAAATACAAAATTATTTTAAGAAGAAAACGCTGCTACTGAGAAATGTGCTCACGAATGGTTTGTAGGTGAAATCCCAGTTTGACAGACATCATCCATCAGGCCTCAGTTGGTCATAATCTCCAATGACCAGTCGCTAGAGTCCAAGACCCCCGAGGCCTAATTTGTGATGGCAGTCAAAAATCATATTCACTTCATAGTCTAGAAGCCCCAGAAAAAAAAAATTTCCAGACAAACAAATATGTTACCGTATCAGAGGCCACCTCCTCCTCCTCACTGCCAAGTGTACACTCCTCTGGGTTGTCAACAGGAGCTAGGAGAACACCACGTGACAGTCAGTTCATTGGTGCTGCTGAGAAATCTCACAAGAGGCTTGGGGGATATGTGTATAAAGGGGCTGGAATGATGGAGCTGGGTGGTTCACAAGCATGGACTGAGCTGCTGCTGGACCATTCTCCTGGTGTTGAATGAAGGAAAAGGAGAGGGGCAGAAAGAAATTAAAGAGCCTTGGCTTTCTAGCTAGGGCAACTTCATCAATGTGAAACAGTCACCTTAAGAACCGGTTAATACAGAAAGGCACTGTATAGAAATAAGAAGTACATTAGGGCTGCTTAGAACCAGGGGTGCAAGGTTGGGCAAAACAGAGGGGTGTCTACTAATGAGGTTTGTTTGAGGAGGAATGAAGAGGTTTTAAAATTAAATTGTAATGTAAATGCATAGCCTATAAATATAGTAAAAACACTGAATCACCCACTTTAAATGGGTGAATTGGGTTGCATGTCAACAACATCCCAATGAAGCTATGTTAAAAAAAAAGAATACGTACTGTGGTGATATTCACTTGTAGCGTTTTCCTGCAGTAAGAGGAAAGAAAAACCATCATGAGGGTCCTGACTGCACAGGTCTTTTATTCACTTGGTGGTGTTAGAAAACCAGGTATCAAACAGGGATCAAGTCACTGACCCACAAATAAAGCACAGAGGATGCTTGGAGAAAGGGCAGTGGGCTTTTGTCTTTGGTTTTGGACAGATTCTTGCTCTGTCACCCAGGCTGGAGTGCAGTGGCATGATCTCAGCTCACTGCAACCTCAGCTTCCTGGGTTCAAGCAATTCTCCTGCCTCAGCCTTCCAACTAGCTGTGACCACAGGTGCCAGCCACCATGCCTGGCTAATGTTTGTTTTTATAGGAGAGATGGGGTTTCATTATATTGGCCCTGTCTGCCTCAGCGTCCCAAAGTGCTGGATTCTACGTGTGAGCCACCATGGCAGTAGGTTTTCATGGAATATTTAGCAAGTTGCTACTGAGAAATATGCTCACTACTAGTTTGTAAGTGATGCCATCTTTTGACTAACATATCAATCAGGCCTCAGTTGGTCACACATTCCAGTGACTGGTAGCTAGAGTTCATGACAGCTGAGTCTAGAAGCCCCAGGAAAAGATATGTCTCTTCAAGACAAAGAAATGCATCTTACTAAGTCAGGTGACATCTCCTCCTGAAGCTTTTGACTTGTGCACCCCTTTGGGTCTTGAACAGGAGCTAGGAGAACACAAAGAGACAGTCAGTGCACTGGTGATGCTGAGGAATCCCACAAGGAGGCTTGGGAAATGTGGACCAAAGCTGCAATGTATGGAGGTGGGCTCTTGACAAGCATGGACTGAGCTGCTGCTGGACCACTCTCCTTGGTGCTGAAGGAAGGCAAAAGAGAGGGGAAGAAAGAAATGAAAGAACCTTGGCTTTCTAGCTAGGGCAACCTCATCAGTGTGAAAAAGTCTGAGAACCGGTTAATACAGAAAGGCACTGTATGGCTCAGTGAGAGCATCTCATCACACCTGCTGCCCACATTAAGGTCTAGGCAAATCCCAACATTTTATGAAACGTTACAGGATTATTTAACTTCTGTGGATCTACATATCCTGCTACTACATTAATCATCTATCCTGTTGTATTTTGAAAATTTTAAAAGCTTACATATTTATTTTAATTATTAAGTGTGCATTTCAATGATATCATATTTAGTGAGTAACATTCATGATGCTGTGGCAATAATGAGAAAAATCTAAATTCATAATCTAGCTTCCACCTTGGGCAATGAAAGAAAAACAGCAGTATAATGTCAAATAGAGGAAAAATAAATAACGACTGCAGAAATTAATGGAATAAAAAACAGAAAATCATCAGAGAAAATCAACAAAACCAAAAACCAATTCTTTGAAAAGATCAATAACACTAATAAACCTCTACCTTGTCTAACCTCAAAGGAAAAGAAGGAAGTCACGATATACTAATAATATCAGTGAAATCAACAAATAGCAATAAAGGAATATTGTGAACACATCTGTGCTCACACTTGGAAACATTATATGAAATGAGCTAATTTTTTGATCTGTTTCAGAAGATTAAAAGTCTTCTCATGATAAATGAATCATCTGAATAGGCCTATATTTATATTAGAAATTGAATCAATAATTAGTATCTTCTCAAAAGAACAAAAACACTATCTTCAGATGATTTCAACAGTAAATTCTACCAAAATTCTTACAAAGAAACAAAGTCTTACGTATAAGCAAGTAATCATAATTTTAGTATTTCCTTAGTTACATTTAAAAAATTATGTTTCCAAACAAGACACAAGAAGGTTTACAATTGCTGTATTCATAATTGCCCAAACTGAAAGCAAATGTCTAAACATTTGAGATGTCGTTTACTATCAAAAGTGAACCAAGCCTGGGCAACACTATGAAACCCCGTCTCCACAAAAAAAAAAAAAAATTAAATTAGAAAAAAAAAAAAAAACTTGGTATAAAGCATGTGCATTTCAGCCATCTGCTTGGGATGCTGAGGTAGGAGGATCACCTGAACATGGGGAGGTCAAGATTGCAATGAGCTGTGATTGCACCAATGCACTCCTGGGTGACAAAATGAGACCTTTTCACAAAAACAAACAAATAAAAAGAACCAAACTCTAAGTTGTCAATGTAACTTTACTTGTGTAGTTGCATCATCCATTGATTTAATTCATTAAATGACATAGCATTTACTGAGTTTGTAAACTGGATGAGTAAACAAATTATTTGCTTCAATAAACTTAATGATATAATTTCCACCCTACCTTCATTTACAATGGGGCAAATTTTCTTACACTTCCATTTTTTTCGTACCCGGCTCCTGATGCGGCCAGCCAAACCTGCAATGTATTATAATAGAGACAGTACTTGACATCTTGCTGGCAGAAGACCACAGAGAAATTAGTAAAAATTTATTCAGTTTAAACTTTTGATCCTAGTTTTCACTGACTGCTTTTTAATGCTACCTGAATTACATCTGGGTTCTAGGAAGATTTGTTTGTCCAGGTAGATACCTTTATTCAGATGAGACAATAAAAAAAAGCAGAAGATCCAAGTTACCAAGAATAGGCTGGGTTCAAATCCTACTTAGAATCTGCACATACCTGAAAGACGGATATGAACCCATCTATGCCTCTCTTCCCTATTCTGAGATGTAGAAACATTAGTAGATCTATGCTATAGACCTACTAAGGTCTATAGCACCTAAAAGGATGAAATGCAGATAAAGACTTTAAAAGACTCATTTTTTTGGTAAATCCCCTAAAATGTTCAATCATTCAATGTCGAGAAGGATAATCCAGATACTTGGTAGTGGTTGAACACAGAGTGGGAGCTTGTATGTCCCCTGTGCAGGGTAGGATGGAAAGTGACTTCACAATTTCCATGGCCACATGATTTCCAGCTCATGACAGAGATCTGTGATTTCCCTGATCCCCACATCAGCCCCAAGGGACAGGCAGGGAAGGGGCTACAACCCATATTTTCCAATTCAATAAAAAGACATCTTACTCTTTTTCACAGCTCCATACTTCTCCTTCATGTAGAAGTACCAGCTTATTTTACTAGTCCCTTACTAGGCATGTCAGTTATTTCCAATATTTAACTATTGAAAATAATGCTACAAGAACTTTGTACATAGTTTGTTTTATATTTATGGAGCACACCTTCAGGATAAAATTCCTCAAGGTAGGATGTCTGGTTTAAATGCATTTTCATGGTTGTGAGATTGTGCCAAATTCCCCTTCATGGAGTTGGGCCTTTTTGCATTTCCACCAGCAATATATGAATGCACCTTTCCTTACAGCCACAACAAAGAACGTTTTGCCATGTTTTTGGGATCTCCCTCAATAGGAGAGACGCTGCAGTAGAGCTGTCCTTTGCCTTTCTTTTATGAGTGAAGATGTGTTTAACAATCACCTGCATTTCTTTTTCTGTGACTTGACTATTTACCACTTTATTATCTACTTTTAGTGTTACTTGATTTTTCTGAAGTCGGCCCTTTTCAGGTCCTTATAGTTTTTCTCTTCACTGTTGGCTCTCACCTGAACTACTCCACCAGCCTCCTAGCTGCTCTTCCTGCTTCCACCCTTGCCTGTATTACAGTATATTCACACAGAGCTGCTGCTCAGTCTTTTTCTTAGAGAACTAACAGTAATCCTGGGCTATAATCCTCCAGTGGTTTTTCATCTCAACTGAAGTCCATCTTATCTGTGAGTGCTCACTACATGTACAAGGCCTTCACCCACCTTATTCATCCCAGGATCCTTTCACTCTGCTGCAGCCACCCTTGTGTCTTTCTGTCCTTTGCCTAAAACAACTTTGTTTCAATTTCAGGAATTCCAAAGCGGATATCCCTCTCTGGAAGCCCTCTCCCATCATCCTCACAAGGTTCCCTTCACTTTTTTATTTTTAAAAATAAATAAGATGGGGTGTCTCTGTGTTGGCCAGGCTGGTCTTAAACTTCCAGCCTCAAGGAATCCCCTCATCCTGGCTTTCCAAAGTGCTGGGATTAAAGGTGGGAACAAGTGAACCCAGTCCATTTCACTTTTAAGACTGTTCACATGTCACTTAAAGAGAACATCCAGCTCTTAGCACCAACCTGCCCTCCTCTTTAATCCATTACCCTGCTTTACTATCTTCCCAACATGTTACCACCTGCCATTCTTGACTATTCATGTGCTAGCTGTCCTTACTTCCCTATTGAATGTAAGGGTCAGACTTAGAATGGGGCTCTCTGTTGTGTTCCACTGTTTGCCCTGCTTGCCCTGCATCTGCAACACTGCCAGGCCATTTAAAAGTGCTCAATACATATATTTCATTTTACCCCAAACTAGTTAAGTTTCTCCCAGTTCTCCCAGATCTGTCTTGTCTTTTGATTTATCATCTAAGACAGCATCAGATTTTTTAAACTGGTGGCTATTTAGAATTAAAGACACAAGCTATCAAGATCCATAAAAATATAAATGAAGTATGTTAATGTCTATTTAAAAGTCAACGGTAACTGCAGTTTGACAGAAGTACATTTAATACTAAAATGCCTTAAATACAAAGTGACTCATTTCATCAGGTTAATTATGTCACTAGACAAAATATATTATCTGAACTTTATAATGAAATATCACGCATCTGTCATCAAAATGTGCTTTACGTGTGTTCTTAGAATCAAACATGACAGGATTGTGTCTGACTTTACGAAAAAAGACGGCCAATCAGAAAGGGTACTAGGGACTTTCACCAGTCTGTAGTACACTAAGCAGTTATTCAAAGTCATCAGGTACAGCAGGGTGCCCTGGCATGCAAAGACATCCTGGCGTGCTGTCTAGGTGTCAAGTACTGTTTGAGAAAGTTACGCCATTATTTCACTGCTTTAAGTAAAAGTTACAAGGCAGCACATATAAAATGATCAAAGAATTCTATTTTATAAAAAAGTTTGTGAAATAAAATATTCAAATGCATACCAAAAATTTCCAGAAGAACCAGTACTCAAACAGTAACACAAGTGAGCTCTGGGTATTCTGGGTATAATAAGTAACTTTTCTTTGTTTCCTACATCTTTTACATGAAACATACTGATGGTTATTTTAAAAGGAGGGTTCAAAATAACTACTAGAAAGCAGTAGACCTGCTGCTCAGAAGTCTCAACATCATATGCCCATTCTTTCCCTTCCCTGACCCCTCACTTGAGAGAGCCAGCAAACGAGCAGCGTTCTTATGGTAAGAACACAAAAGGCTGCATGAAAAGTTGATGGGTAGTGATAAAATTGGATAATGAGCTCCTACTATCTTAATCTGTGTTACTTATATTACCCCCAGTCATATTACATATACTGCTAAATAAACGCATGATAGGACAAAATATGTTTGAGTCTGAGATCTAAACTTCTCTTTAAAATGGCTTCAAGACACAATGTTCTTTTGAAATATTTCAGAAGAGAACAATGAAGCAGAGCATCATTTATGGCATAAGTTCCTGAAACAGGACTTGGCACCTAGAGAGCACTCCAGGATGTCTTTCCACAGCAGTGCACCCTGCTCTACCTGATGACTTTAAATGACTGTTTAGTGTGTCACAGAATGGTTGGAGCACTGGTTACTGTGATATTTGTCTAAGTCACCAAAAGAATTCAATTTGTCATTATAGAAAGGTTAAAATGTTTCACATCTAAGTAGGAATTTATCACTTTCCGAGAAAAGTGATACACAATTTTCTGAAATGAAGATATTAACAACAAACTTTGAATGCGTCTATACTTTATATTGAGTGTTCTGAACATGTTGCTTTCTTGTTTTATTTGCCCAGCCAGGCTGGAGTGTATTGGCGCGATCTCGGCTCACTGCAACCTGCAATTCCCGGATTCAAGTGATTCTCCTGCCTCAGCCTCCCAGGTAGCTGGGATTACAGGTAAGTGCCACCACGCCTGGCTAATTTTTTGTATACTTAGTAGAGAAGGGGTTTCATCATGTTGGCCAAGCTGGTCCCAAACTCCTGACCTCAGGTAATCCGCCCACCTCGGCCTCCCAAAATGCTGGGATTACAGGCATGAGCCACTGTGCCTGGCCAAAGAATAAACACTGAAATTGAGGTTTCTGTTATCCCTTTACTGAATACCACAAAAATACATTTGAAACTTACTATCATGCACATACACATAAAATGGTAAATTCTGCACTCACAAACTATTTTTTCTTCAACTGTTCTGATTTACAACTTCTTACTCGCAGCCTGTGCTCAATGTGTGGGGCCTTACCTGCCCTCTTGCCAGCTTCTCCCGACCAGGGCATTCTCAGCTTCCAATCAGTTAGCACAAGAAACTCTTTGTTACCCCTACTTATATCCTTATCTATTTCAATAAATGTATAGACAGAAGGCAGAGCCAGGAGAGATGGCACATGCCTGTATTGTCAGCTCTCCTATAGGCTGAGGCAGCAGAAGTGCTTGATCCCAGGCCAGGAGTCAGAAGCCGGCCTGTGCCACACAGTGAGGACCCATCTCTTTAGGAGGAAAATCGAAGAGGTAAATGTTGTGTAAAATAAAATGCAGGGCCAGGCGCGGTGGCTCAAGCCTGTAATCCTAGCACTTTGGGAGGCCGAGGCGGGTGGATCATGAGGTCAAGAGATTGAGACCATCCTGGTCAACATGGTGAAACCCTGTCTCTACTAAAAATACAAAAAATTAACTGGGCATGGTGGCGCGTGCCTGTAATCCCAGCCACTCAGGAGGCTGAGGAAGGAGAATTGCCTGAACCCAGGATGCGGAGGTTGCAGTGAGCCAAGATCACGCCATTGCACTCCAGCCTGGGTAACAAGAGCAAAACTCCGTCTCAAAATAAATAAATAAATAAAAATAATAATAAAAAAATAAAATGCAAAAGGAACTAATCAAGATGAAAATAAGTTCTAAGAGAGGTTTATGTTATGGGTAGACCTTAAAATAGAAGACCTTCTAAAGTTTGTCAAGCTCTTTAAGAACTGAGTTTAGCATCACTACGACCTCCGATGTCTACTTTGATGACTTAGAACCTCAGTTCTGTTCAGCAGCTGTCTCACACAGTCCCTTCAGATCTCTAAGCCTTCCTTTCTGCATCAGCAACATAGGGAGAATATCCACAGGCCTTATTCGTATTTGGAAGGTTCCAATAAGATGTACATGAAAACATGTTTTACATCCTAAAGAATAAGGAAAAGGCTCACTTTGTTCTCTCACTACCTCATCTACCAAATCGGACAGAATATCACACAGAGGCTTGCCATACACCACCAAGCAAGGAGTTTCCACAGGTACTTGCATGCTTTGTGTATAAGGTACAATCTATTAAGTCTCATAATTATTTGTTCATTCTTTCACAATTTTTCAATATTCTGAAAAGGGAGTACAGCACTTCCTTGTTACAAAGGCACACCCATCATGAGGCTTAATTATTCTGTGAAAGGTAAGAGCTAAACTGAAGTTTAAACACAAGAGCTGTAAGACATTTTCTCCATACTAATAAAATCTCTGCCGTTAAAATGAAAGAAATGAGCTGATCATATTTCTGTGTCTTTATGATATAATGTTTTCTATTTCAGTGGACTTAGTTTTTGTTCAAGAACTGGTTACCCAGAATTATCGGTTGCTAGATTCATCTATTTCTAAAATCCTAAAGAATTTTAGACTGAAGACTGCTGGCCCTGGCTGATGCCTGTAACCCAAAAAGCCTATGTCACCTAGTTACCAGGAAACAACCAAGTCAGGCTACTGGCTCAGAATGCCCTGCCCCACAACCCCACCCAATGGCTCACAATGCCCATCCCTGCTGCTGCCCACCTGGGGTCACCATTCCCCCCATGTGACTGCATTATTCATCCTGGGCTGCCTGAGCTTTCCAGTCCTGAGAAAAGTGTGTGGAGGGGAGGGTGGTTGTTACTGGAAGTCACCCTGGGGGCTGAACTCAGGAGAAAACCCTGGTTACTAATGTCAGTTCCATTAGCATCTCTGGTTTTCTGAGTCTGGTAGCTTTTCTTTGCTCAACAAATGTAGTGATACACAAATGTTTGACTGATTTTGTAACTAATTTCTCCTCTCCTGTCTTACAAGTGTTAGTTTTTGTCTTCAATTTGACCATAAGAAAAAATGAAATGTTTCCTCTCTCCTCCCCTTTCCCATCCTGTAGGAAGGGGAGCCATGAAAACAAACTCTTTTCCATAGGCAGGGTCTGGCCTTCTAACTCTATGGTCTTTACCTTACAAATTCAAATCTAAAGTTATTTCATCTCTTCTGGAACCTGTAACCAGGAGCTAGCTCTACCTGTCTTTCAGAACAAGGAGGTAAACAAAGCCCGTGAAGTTACTGGAGAAGGGCTGAAGAGACATTCACGTCAAAGTGGGAATTTTAAAGTAATCACAGCTCCTCGGCTAAACTTTTGGGTAAAACAAAAACAAAAACAACTTCTTTACAGCTCTGGCAGTAACATTTCATACCTTTTGCAGTCATTTTAAGCATGTCCCTCAATTTTTCCTTCTGTTTTCAAATTACAATTGGAAGAAATAAAGCTGCTTCTGTCAAGGTGACTTCAAACCATCTATTAAGAACACCATATAATCTCTTCCATAACACACTCTATTTTAAATTTAAGAAGTCTCCAAATATTTGAGTCTGAATTATCCCAATTATTAGCTTCCTTATCGAATAGGAGAAAAGAAATGATTGGGCCTTTAACCGGCTCCTTCACTGAGGTACCATAGTAGCTGGATAGGTAAGGCTAGAGAATGGGATGGAGATTCCAAAACTGGAGTATCTGAATTTTCATCGGGGAAAGAAAGAGACTAGACCAAAAATGCCTCAAGCAAGAAGGCTCAACAACAAAGACAAGAGGCAGGACTAGCCTTTGTCCGAGGGAGCTGGAAGCTGAGGATGTCTGCGGGGTGAGGGGATGGGAAGGAGGTGGGGGACGTGGTGGCCAGAGAGCAAATGGCACCCCTGGCTTCTTTACCTTTGCGCCGCTTTGACTTGATGGGCTGCACATGCTGGACCTGCGCCACTCCTGGATGTAACACGGCAGGCTCTGCAGTGGTGGATGCTGGTGCTGCAGCTGCCGCAGACTGAGTCTCACATTCACAAGACGGCGCCACTCCCTGCTGGCACGAGGTACAAGACCCAGGGTCTAGGCAATTCCCCATGAGTGACCTACAAGGGGACTTTCAAAAAAAAGCAACAAACAAAATCAGAAAAAAGAACAATGAGAACACATGGACACAGGGAGGGGAGCACTACACACTGGGGTCTGTTGTGGGGAAATAGGGAGGGACAGTGGGTAGCGGGGTGGGGAGTTGGGGAGAGATAGCATGGGAAAAATGCCAGATACTGGTGATGGGGAGGAAGGCAGGAAATCATGTGTACCTATGCAAAAATCTTGAATGTTCTTCACATGTACCCCCACACCTAAAATGCAATTAAAAAAAGAAAAAAACAAAACAAAGCAACACACACACACACACAAAGAAAAAAAGCAACACACTGAAAAAAAAAAAAAAAAAGAAAAAGAAAAGCAACAGAGCAAGCGCCAAGGGCAAAAACACTTCTGTGAGAGTAGTCGGAGCTCCTCCTCCTCCCACTACCAGCTTCCGACTGAAGGCTGCTGGCCCTGGCTGATGCCTGTTACCCACAAAGCCTCCTATGTCACCTGGTTACCAGGAAACAACAAAGTCAGGCCAGTGGCTCACAATGCCACTTCCCACAAACCCATCTAATGGCTCACAATGCCCATCCCTGCTGCTGGCCACCTGTGGCAACCCTGCCCCTCTTGGTGACTGCATTATTCATCCTGAGCTGCCTGAGATATTCTATTTTTCACTACAGGCCTCAAAAAACTCAGAAAAGTCCCTTCATAGATTCTATATAGAGAGCGTGTCTAACTTGTGAATAAAAACAAAGCTATCATTCTGCGTGATAAATCCACAAACACAAAGCATTTTCACAGAATCCTTTGGGGCCTACCTCTCACCTTTAGCTTCCTGTTCTTAGTTATTTGGGCTTCTGTCTTGTATGCTCTGTCAGGTTCTAGGCCTTGTAAGGGTGACTTCCATGTCTCCATTCATTTATATGGGCCCAGGACGGTTGGCTCTTGGGAGGGTCTTCATGGTGACTGAGGCCATGGATCCTTTACACTGTTCCTTGAATCCACTTGACACGAAATGCTCATCCTGAAATGATGCTTTGAAAGTGATGCTTTCAGTCAATTAGTGGTCCACTGTATTATGGATCCCTAGTACCCAATATATGGCATATAAGAAATGAATGAAAAATGAGTGAATGAACTCAAGTGTGCCTACAAGGCGAGAGAAAAGTGGTCCTACTTACTGGGTGTGCTACAAAGGCATCTGGGACCATTGGCTTTGCTATTTGATAGTAGGCCTGGGGCTTTGAAGGTTGGTATATCCTCATTCTAAACCTCAAATTCCAATAAATTACCACCCAGTGGACAAAGGTCCATGGCCAGAGCTCTTGGTGTGAACAACATACCTTTTCTGGGTGTGATTAATTGACAGGGACTATACTAAACTAAAACTAAAAACAATGTTTGTGTGCTGACTACCCTCAAGCCATGGTGATAAAACACTCTGTATACATGATCTTATTCAATGCTTGTTACAAATCCATGAAGTGGATTTTTAGACAAACTTTCTATTCTAGAGCTTTTTGGAACAAGAGGCTAGTGTGGTGAGCTTTCACCTACTCAGCAGCAGATTCAGATATTTGTTACCTGATGGCCAATCTCATTACATGTATACTCCTACATGCTTCTCCTCTTCCTCTCACGATTTTATAGCAAATCCCACATATCATATAATTTCCTCCCCGACTGTCTTGGTATATGTCTGTAAAAGATACAATTTTTGTTTGTTCTTTCAAGACAAGGTCTCTGTCACCCAGGCTGGAATTCAGTGGCATGATCTTGGTTCACTGTGGCCTCTCCTGCCTCAGCTGCCTGAGTAGCTGCAAGTACAGACTCACACCACCATGCCAAGCTAATTTGTTTATTTGTATTTTAGTAGAGAAAGGGTCTTGCTATGTTGCCCGGGCTGGTCTAGAATTCCTGGATTCAAAGGATCTTCCCGCCTTGACCTCCCACACTACTGAGATTATAGGTGTGAACCACCGTGCCCGGAGACAAGAACTCTTTAAAAAATATAATAATCCCAATACCATCATCAACCAACCATCTTACACCATTGCTCTTTATCACTGTCCACTCCCCTTCTAGCTTCAAATTTCCAGTCATTTCATGTGTATATTGTTTGAATCAAGATCCAAATAAAGTCTCTATTTGGAATTGTATGATTCACCTCTTACAATTTTTTTGATCCTGACAGCTTCCCACTTTGATTTCTGTGCTGTCCCTTGCAGCCCATTTATTGAATAAATCAGGCAATTTCCCCATACTTTGGATTATGCTAAGTGTATTCTTATCATGCTGATTCTCATACTGTGAATTTTGCTAATTGTTATCTTGTGATGTTGGTAAACTTGCTCTTCACTTTGTTCCAGTTTTGACAAATCAGTAGTTTGATCTCAAGACTTGGTGAGATTCAGGTTGGACTTGAGGGTCAGGGCAAAGATTGTGCTAGTTTCTTCTGGGAAAAGGTGTGTACTTTCTGGACATCTTTTTTCTTTAATTGGTGATTTTAATGGCCATTGATCAGTTATGGATTGAACAATGAAGGTACTGTTGTATCATTCCTTCTTTGTTTATGAGCTGCCATACTTCCAGAAAGAGATACTGCTACCCGAAGAAGGGCCTTGCATGAAGAAAAAAATGAAGCAAATACAAAAAAAAGATGCTGCTTCTTATAAACTGTATTACTCACTTGTACAACTTATATAGAAAACACCAGTTCAAGGCTTGATTTCTTCTGTTTGCCATTTTTCAAAATGATGGGCTGTTTCATTTATATCCTTCAATGGTGACCACTTCTATTAATTAATTTATTTAGACAGGGAGGGTCTAGCTCTGTTGCCCAGGCTGGTATGCAGAGAAGCAGTCATGCCACTATAGCCTCAAACTTCTAGGCTCAGGTGACCCTCCCATCTCAGCTTCCTGAGTAGCTGAAACCAAAGACACGGGCCCTCATACCTGAGTAATTTTAAAATATTTTGTAGAGACAAAGTCTCCCTATGTTGCACAGGCTGGTCTTGAACTCCTGGACGAAGTGATCCTCCTAACTCAGCCTCCCAGAGTGTTGAAATTATAGGCATGTGGAAGTGTGCAAGCCCACTTTTATTTTTTCAAAAGGATCATTATGAATGCAGATATTCAAACATATCTGATATATCTCAATTCACTGCAACTATTATCCTTATTAATGTACAAAATGTCCTATCTTTGGTTAGAAGGAGTCCCTTCAGATTGGCTCTTCAGACATGTTGAAATCATCCTAATAATCTTTGATGGATTCTTTGCTATCCAGAGTGACAATATGTTCCAGGCTTCTTACACATTTCTGGCCTAGACCTGGAATCAGCACTTTCCCAGGAAGGCTTGTTTTCTTTCACTGGGCAATGGTATTTTGAGACTATATTGAGCCAAAATCTTGGGGCTAGGAGTAAATAGTATAATTTTAAAATGTAGAAAGCCGCCTGGCTCATGCCTGTAATCCTAGCACTTTGGGAGGCTGAGACAGGTAGATCACCTCAGGTCACAACTTTCAGACCAGCCTGGACAACATGGCTGGTCTGAAAGTTGTACTAAAAATACAAAAAATTAGCTAGGCATCATGGCAGGAGCCTTTAATCCCAGCTACTTAGGAGGCTGAGGCAGGAGAAACACAGTTAAGAAAATGAATAAAAGCAAGCCTGCACACAAATACGTAAGTATAAAAATAATGTTGTGAGCCTGGGTCTAAATAAAATAAATGAGTAAATCTGAGTCTGCCAATAAATAATTAGATACCTAGATAGATAAATACATAAATCCAAGCCTGCCTCCAAATAAATAAATAAATAAATTCGACCTCCTTCTCCATAAATATGTCAGCAAATAAAATAAATGCAAGTCCGCCTCTAAATAAATCACTTAATAGACAGATAAATAAATCGACAAATAAGCAGCCCCACTTGGTGGCTCATGCTTTTAAGCCCCTACCCATTGCAAGCCTGAGCCAGCTATATCATCTGAGATCAGGACATCGAGACCAGCATGGCCAAGAGGGTGAAAGAATCCCTGTCTCTATTTAAAAACATACTAAGATGAAAATAATTAAATAAATAAGTAAAAATATAAATAAATAAATGCAAGCCGGGCTTCCTGCTTCTAAGTAAATAAATCAGTAATTATGTAAATAAATAATGGCTGGAGGAGATGGCTCAGTCCTGTAATCCCAGCACTTTGGGAGGCATAGACAGGTGGAACATGAGCTCAACAGATCAAGACCATCCTGGCCAACATGGAGAAACCTGGTCTCTACTAAAAATACAAAAATATTAGCCAGGCATGGTGGCACGCTCCTGGGGTCCCAGCTACAAGGGAGGCTGAGGTAGAAGAATCGCTTGAACTAAAGAGGGGGAGGTTACAGTGGGCCAAGACTGCACCACTGCAATCCAGCCTGGTGAGATAGCAAGAATCCCACCAGGGATTGAATATAAAATCAATAAATCAAACAATCAGTCAATCAAGAAATGCAAGCCAGCCTCTTAAATCATTAGATAGTTAAGAAAATGTATAAATGCGAGCCTGCACACAAATACATAAGTAGATAATTAAACGTCAGCCTGTGTCTAAATGAATAAATAAGTAAATGTAAGCCTGCCTCTAAATAATTAGATTGGTAGATAGATATACATAAATCCAAGGTTGCCTCAATATATATAATTAAATGCAACCTGCTTTTCCATAAGTACGCCAGTAAATAAATGAATGAATGCAGGTTTGCCTCTAAATACATTGATTAATAGATACATAAATAAATCAATAAATAAATAACCTGGTGGCTTATTTGATACATAAATAAATCAATAAATAAATAACTTAGTGGCTCATGCAAAAGCAAATCCCCTGCCCATTTGGAGACTGAGCCCGGTTTATCACCCAAGATCATGACATCGAGACCAGCCTGGCCAAGATGGTGAAAAAAACCATGTCTCTATTTAAAAAAAATAATAAGATGAAAATAATTAAACAAATAAATAGAGACTTAAAAAAATAAATGAATGCAGGATGGTCTGCTTACTACTAAGTAAATAAATAAGTAGTTAAGTAAATAAATAAATAAAGGCTGGGGGCCGTGGCTAAAGCCTGCAATCCCAGTGCCTTGGGAGGCCAAAACCAGCGGATCACGAGGTAAAGAGACCAAGACCATCCTGGCCGACATGGTGAAACCCCATCTCTAATAAAAATACAAAAATATTAGCGAGGCTCGGTGGCACTCACCTGTGGTCCCAGATCCTCCGGAGGCGTAGGAGGAAGAATCGCTTGAATCCAGGAAGCGGAGGTTGCAGGAAGTCAAAAATGGGCCAGTGCACTCCAGCCTGGTGACAGAGCAAGACTCCCTCTAAAATAAATAAGCAAATAAATAAATAAATAAATGCGAGGCTGCCTCTAAATCATTATACAGACAGTTAAGAAAACGGATAAATGCAAGCCTGCACAGAAATACATAAGTATAAAAAAAATGTTGTGAGCCTGGGTCTCAATAAAACAAATGAGTAAATGTGAGCCTGCCTCTAAATAATTAGATAGCTAAATAAATACATAAATAGAAGTCTGCCTCCAAATAAATAAAGTGAATTCGACCTGCTTCTCCAAAAGTACATCAGCAAATAAATAAATAAATGCAAGTCTGTCTCTAAATAAATCAATCAATAAGCAGCCTCACTTTGGTGGCTCATGTTTTTAATCACCCACCCATTGGGAGACTGAGCCGGCCATATCACCTGAGATCAGGACATCGAGACCAGACTGGCCAAGATGGTGAAAGAATCCCTGTCTCTATTTTTAAAAATACTAAGATAAAAATAATTAAATAAATAAGTAAAATATAAATATATAAATGCAATCCAGGCTTCCTGCCTCTAAGTAAATAAATCAGTAATTATGTAAATAAATAAATAAAGGCTGGGCGACATGGCTCAGTCCAGTAATCCTAGCACTTTGGAGGGCCAAGACAGGTGGAACACGAGCTCAAGAGATCGATGCCATCCTGGCCAACATGGAGAAACCTGGTCTCTACTAAAAATACAAAAATATTAGCCAGGCGTGGTGGCACGCTCCTGGGGTCCCAGCTACAAGGGAGGCTGAGACAGAAGAATCGCTTGAACCAAAGAGGGGGAGGTTAAAGTGGGCCAAGGCTGTGCCACTGCACTCCTGCCTGGTGAAAGAGCTAGAATTCGTCTAAAATCAATGAATCAATGATCCAATCAATCAATCAAGAAACGCCAAGTCAGCCTCTAAATCATTACATAGTTAACAAAATGAATAAATGCAAGCCTGCACACAAATACATAGGTATATAAATATATGTCAGCCTGTGTCTAAATGAATAAGTAAATGTAAGCCTGTCTTTAAATAGATAGGTAGATAGATAAACACATAAATCCAAGCCTGCCTCAAAATATATAATTAAATGCGACCTACTTCTCTGTAAGTACATCAGCAAATAAATAAATAAATGCAAGTTTGTCTCTAAATAAATTGATTAATAGATACATAAATAAGTCAGTGAATAAATAGCCCCGCTTAGTGGCTCATGGACAATGGACTGCTTTGGTAGTGATTTTGTTTTTTCTTCATTAGTAACCAACAGCACAGCTAACCAAGAAACCATACACATTTGGGGCCATGTCAAACTGAAGAGTTTGTGCCTAAGAAACAATGAACAAATTGAAAAAACATGCTAAAAATTTTAAGAAAAGATTGGGCAAACATTCAGTTGAATAAGGGGTTATTTTTTTTTAAAGGTACAAGCCAGTAACACTACAAGCTTGCAAAAAAAATAAAAAACAGCAGAAAAATAACCAAACCAAATAACCTGAAGAGATATTTGTGCAGACAAGAAACTGATACAACATTTGCAAAAATGTGGTTACCATTACCACGCATGAGAAAAATGAAGATCAAAACCACACTCAGATCTTATCTCACTCCCAACTACAATGAATATTATAAACAGATTAAAATACTTAAACAGACAACTTCTTGTATTAATTTCCACAAAGAGGAACTTTGTGGAAATGTAAATTAAGTATTAACACTATAAAAAACAGTTGGGGGTCCTGTAAAGAATAGAAAAGAAAAATACCATACTATCTAGCATTCCCACCACTGGGTATACATTCTACCTACCTGTCCATCCACAGAGGGATAAAGAAACTCTCGTATGCATACACTAAGGAATATTCTTCGGCCACCAAAATGATGAAACAGTGTCATGTGGAGCAACCGAGATGAACCTAGAAAACATTATGTTAAATATGAGCTGGGCCAAGAAAGACAAACACTGAATCTTAAGATGTCTATCTTAAAGAGGTAGAAAGCACAATATTGGTTACCAGGGTCTGGGAGATAGAGGGGGAGTAGGGATTGGTATGGAAGCATAGTTATCTTAACCTTAAAGGCATAAATCTGAGTGTTCTCCTCCTCAGCCTGATGACAGGAGTTAACAATACTATATTTTTCAAAACAAGAAAGGAGAATTTCGAGTGTTCTCTCCACACAAAAATAATACCTTATGAGGGAATAGAGATTCTAAGTACCCTGATTTGATCATTACTCAATCTATATGTGTGAAAATGTACCCTAATTATGCATCTTTATGTTGCGAAAAAAAGTTAACAGAAATAAATACATATTGCTAAAAATCACAGGGAACCATAAAAACACTTCATATCTAAAGGAATCCTGAGAAATACAATCAGAGTGAGGACCCACAATCTTCGATATTAAATCACACTGCCAAGCTGCAGTTATGCTGCAGATAGATAGTACTTGGATAAAAACAATACCTAGAACTGTGGACAAAAACAGGGAGGAGAAAACAAGATCAACGCAAACATGGACATAGTCAACTCACTTTGATAAAGACCACCACAATGTGGAAGGCAGAGTCTGCTCAACGAATGCCTTTGAGAAAAATGTTATCTGGATGCAGAAGAGAGAAACAGGACCCTGATTTTACATGATATAGGAAAATCAACCCCCGCACCCCCCACACACCCCCCAAAAAACACACACACACACAAACCCCTGAAGACCAGAACAAAAGACCATAAACCACAAAATGTTTTTAACTAAAACACAGGTTGAGCATATATTCTGGGTCATTTGAATCTCTGTTCACCTTTGAAAAGAGAAAAAGAAAGAAACACCCTGGAAGAAAAACCTCATTGACAATTAAATGCTTTGTAACTGATACCTATTTCCTTATATGGATGACCAAAATTACATGCATAAAAGGCAAAAATAAACGTGGACTACATCAACCAGAAAAATTTCTGCATGGCAAAGAAACTACTTTCCAAATAAAAAAAGCATCCTATAGATTAGGCAAAACTTTCAGGTAATCATGTAATTCATGTGTTGTCATCTAAGGTGTACACAAAAAACACTACAAAGTAATAAAACAATCTAATATTTCACAAAGGACCTGAACAGGCAATTCTGCGACATAAAACCAAACAACAGATAAAAGGTCCTCAAAATTATCCAACAAAGTTAACTAACTGCGTGTGGTTTAATTAAAAACCACACAGATAAACTCACACTTACTGAACATTCCTAGAAACATTTTTTTAAAAATAGGAGAGGCCAGGCTCGGTGGCTCACACCAGTAATCCCAGAACTTTGGGAGTCTGAGGCAGCAGATCACCTGAGGTCAAGAGTTTGACACCAGCCTGATCAACACGGAGAAACCCTGTCTTTACTACTGATACAAAAATTAACTGGGCGTGGTGGCACCCGCCTGTAATCTCAGCTACTGGAGGGGCTGAGGCAGGAGAACCACTTGAACCCCAGGAGGAGGTTGCAGATCTGGGGTCACTGCAATCTCCGCCTCCCAGGCTCAAGCAATTCTCCTGCCTCAGCTTCCCGAGTAGCTGGGATTACAGACACCCGCCACCATGCGCAGCTAACGTTTGTATTTTTAGTAAAGACAGGGTTTTACTGTGTTGTCCAGGCTGGTCTCAAACTCCTGAACTTGTGATCTGCCACCTCAGCTTCCCAAAGTGCTGGGATTACAGGTGTGAGCCACCTTGCCTGGCCGGGTCAGGAGTTCCAAACCAGCCTGACCAACATGCAGAAACCACGTCTCTACTAAAAATACAAAAATTAGCTGCGCGTGATGGCACATGCCTGTAATCCCAGTTACTTGGGAGTCTGTGGCATGAGAATCACCTGAACCCGGGAGCGTAGGTTGCAGTGAGGCCAGATGGCACCACTGCACTCCAGCCTGGGCAGAGCAAGATTGTCTCCAAAGAAAAAAAAGAAAAGGAATGCGGGTATGGTTTTCGAGAAAAGGGAACTCATACACTGTAGATGGAAATGAAAAGTCAGAATACACACCACGGACAACAGCTAAATACCTGGAGACTCCTCAAAGAATTGACACTACAGACGTCCCCTGCTCTATTGTGCTCTACTGAGGTCTCTTTCTAAAGGTCCTGAGACATCAAAATAACCCTGGACCTCAGCTCAGAGGCCCATGGGGCTCGGAGGGCCCCAGGTCCGCGCTTCACGGCGGCCTCTGGGCTGGCCCTCCTATATGCTGGACGCAGGTCGCACACCATTTCCAGCCAGGGTGCGGACGCCGGGGCAGCCAGGACCCCACAACCGCCGCCATGCAGACTACTGGGGCCCAGATGCCCACAAGGAGTCAGGGCCCAAAAGCGAGCGGCGGGGAAGGAGCAGGGAGGCCCAGAGGGTTCCCGGTGGGGTCCATGCCCCGCCACTTACCGCAGAGACCTGCCTCCTGCTCCCCCATCACGTGGAAACCACCACGGCTTCTCCCAAGCTCGCTGGGACCGCGCCACCACTTCTGGACGCCGCGGCTTCTGCTCCTTGGGACACGACTCGTCTTCTGCTCCATGGGACCGCGCCGCCATCTCTGGCCGCCGCTTTCGCTCTCTCCAACCACACCCCCACGGCTTCTGCTTGCTTCAACGACGCCACGGCTCCTGCCGGGGCCCTGCGGGAAGTGTCGCCTCGGCTTCCATAGCGGCAGCGCACGCCGGCAGCGGCCCTAGTGATCGGCTGAAGCACCACCCCCTCTTAAAGGGGCCGCGGCTCGGACTGCACAGAAGCAGCTTCACCTTGCGGCACAGGCTGAGCCTCTGCCCAGCCCCAGAGGTGGACGAAAGGCACCCAGTCTCTCCTCCTGGCTTTGGGACCCTAGAGATCACAGGAGTGGAGCCCTGTGATCCCAGCCCCCAGATCAGCTCTCTTTGCCTCGGGAGCTTCCAGAACCTGCCCCTGCCCTCCTCTGAACCTCAGCTTTGCGATCCGCAAAGGAAGCGGCCTGGCCGGAGCTCTGGGGTCCCTCAAGTGCGGCGCCTCAGGATGCAGGCCGGGCTCCCTTGTCCCTCTGCAGAGGGGGCCCTTAAAACCACGGAAAGCTGGGGGCTGCAGGGACAGTCCCGAGGGCAGCAGGGCCTCCCCGGCCTCCCTGTTCGCATCCGTCCTGTGGGAGCCTGGGGGCCTCCTAGGGCCCAGACACCCGCGGCCTCACCGGGGCTGCCTGGGTCACCCGGCTCCCCAGGAGGCAGGCAGGGGCCCTGAGGTCCAGCGCTGCAGCACCTCAACTCCATCCTAGGTCAGCACCCGGGGGGGCCCTGTGGACTGGACCCAGTCAGCCCCTTCCCAGGGAGAGGGACCCTCATCGCATCTGTCTCTGTGCCACCCAGGTGAGGGCCATGCTGGCCTCTCCGGGGGATCTGAAGTGAGGCGGTGGAATCCCAGCCACCTGGCCATCATGCTGAAACCGCATCTCTACTAAAAATACAAAATTTAACCGGGCGTGGTGGCGCCCGCCTGTAATCTCAGCTACTGGAGGGGCTGAGGCAGAACCACTTGAACCCGAAGAGGAGGTTACAGATCTGGGGTCACTGCAGTCTCCGCCTCCCAGGCTCAAGCAATTCTCCTGCCTCAGCTTCCCGAGTAGCTGGAATTACAGGCACCCGCCACCATGCATGCAATAAATCACCAAGCACAGGGAAATACTATTATAAAACCTTCCAAATACACCTTGGCTCTCGTGATAGGTGTGTCCAAAGCTTGGATGCATTCAAAGACCCTTAAATATGCCATTGTTATCACTGAGAAATTAACATAGCCGTATCAACAAGGATTTCTGATCACGTGGCCCTTGACTGTAAATACTTTCATACCCTTTCCATTGGATATCTGTTCCATCATGATCATTAGTTTGTTCAGTCACTTAAAGATCAGTTGGCTGAGTGCAGTGACTCATCACTGTGATACTAGCACTTTGAGAGGTAGAGGCAGAAGGAATGCTTGAGAACAGGAGTTTGAGACAAGCCTATGTATCAAAACAAGACTCTGTCTCTACAAAAAATTTAAAAATTAGCCACATGTAGTGGTATGCATTTGCAGCCCTAGCTACTTGGGAGGCCGAGGCAGGAGGATCATCTGAGCCCAGGAGTTGGAGGCTGCAATGGGCTATGATCGTGTCACCGCACTACAGCCTGGCAATTGGGCAGAACTCTGCAGGAGTCCTGCAGGAGGGATGGAGGCAGGGAGGAAGCGAGAGGAGGGACCAGAGTACCATCCTGTATGAAAGGAACCAGGGAAAAATTCATCAGGGGAAAAAACCAGCAACAAAAAGGTTAATCAACTGAAACAGTTTTGATCAGGGTTCAACTACTAATGACTACACTATAAATATCTGAGCCTGTATTCAAGGCAGTAATTCACCTCTTCAGCTTCTCTAACTGCCAGACCCTAGAGTATATAGGGCACAGCCCCTGTAATCTTACCGTCCACAGTACACATTAGGTTTTACCAACTCTAAGTGCACAGTTTCTTGAACCTAGACTACTCTCAGTCCAACTCCATATTCAAATCCTTTTTATTATTCAAGGACCATTCAAAAACAACTTGTTCCATGAAGTCTTCTCTGATACCCAAGCTCAAAAAATCTCGCTACCATTTGGGGAAACATGATCTGTTTTTTTTTTTTGGAGACGGAGTTTCGCTCTTGTTACCCAGGCTGAAGTGCAATGGCACGATCTCGGCTCACCGCAACCTCCACTTCCTGAGTTCAAACAATTCTCCTGCCTCAGCCTCCGGAGTAGCTGGGACTACAGGCATGCACCACCATGCCCAGCTAATTTTTTTTGTGTGTTTTTAGTAGAGACGGGGTTTCACCATGTTGACCAGGATGGTCTCTATCTCTTGACCTCGTGATCCATCCGCCTCGGCCTCCCAAAGTGCTCGGATTACAGGCTTGAGCCACCACGCCCGGTCCACATTATCTGTTCTTTTAAAGCTTTATGGATTCTCATACATGTTCTTCTTCCATAATACTAAGATTAACCTGTAGATTTTACAATCTTGAAAGCTGGAAGTTTGGCAATTAAAGGTGTGTTGTTTTTTCAGAATTTAGGAAAGGGAACAGTTGTTTGCAGCAATGTTTTAACAGTAAACATTCAGGGAGCAATGCAAACTTCCAATTTGGGAATGACAGTTAAACAATTATATCCAATTGATAAGGTATCATGTAGAGGTTAAAATGAAAATTATGAATTGTAAGTAGCCAAATGAAAGCATGCCTACAAAATAAATAATCTAAAAAAGCAAAATATTAAATTATTTCTATCATAAGGTTACAGCTATGCAAAATGTACTATCATGGACAAGGGCTGCAAAAGAAAATGGGAAATAAAGTTGAATTCCAAGGAGGAAGAGTTTTCTTTCACTTCGTGATTTATTGTTAATAACGCTTGTGCAATAACGTTAATTAAAAACACATACAAATAAATGGGTAGATCCTTATTCTTATACACCAGGTCACACTAATGTCTTCCTTTTGTCATAGAGCTATAAGAACCAGGCCAATGTGGTTGACAGGATACAAATGGGCTTCAATCAAATAGGAGATAAAGTATCCTGCAGGCACAATGAAGAATGTAGGCTGGCTGCCACTATAGTTAGATCAGCTACAAGTTTACAGATAATTATGGTAACAGGTCGACCCCACTCTGGAAAGTGGTCCTTAGTGGGTCTGCTAGTAGCTCTATGTTCTTATCATTATAATCAGTGACTTAAAAAATGAGGCACAATGATCAAATCCTAAGTTGACATGAAGGTGGCAGGTAATAAATACTGTGACACAGTCAAGATAACTGAGCAAGGACTCCAATTTTTTTGCTTTATATTTTTATTTTGAGACAGAGTCTCATTCTGTGGCCAAACTGGAGTGCAGTGGCGTGATCTCGGCTCACTGCAACTGCCAACTCCCTGGTTCAAGTGATACAAATAAAAAAATTAGCTGGGCATGATGGTGAGCACCTGTATTCCCAGCTACTTGGAAGGCTGATAAAGAATCGCTTGAACCTGGGAGTTGGAGGTTGCAGTGAGCCAAGATCACGCCACTGCACTCCAGCCTGGGTTACAAAACAAGACTGTCTCAGGAAAGAAAAAAAGGTTTTTAAAAGTATACAGTGATGTATGTGTAAAAATAAAATGTAGACTCAAAATATCTCATGTACTCCATAAATATATACATATACATACGAAATACCCATAAAATTAGGATCACCTGAGGTCAGGAGTTCAAGACAAGGCTGATAAACATGGTGAAACCCCATCTTTAGTAAAAATACAAAAAATTAGCTGGGCATGGTGGTGGGAACCTGTAATCCCAGCTACTCTGGAGGGTGAGGAAGTCAAACCTCTTGAACTCGGGAGACGGAGATTGAAGTGAGCCGAGATTGTGCCATTGCACTGCAGCCTGGACAAGAACAAAACTCCATCTCAAAAATACCCAATAAATAAATAAATAAAAATTTAATAAATAAAAGGAAGAACTAGAGTAATCATAGCTGTAATTAAAACTCTTAATTAATCTAGGCACAGCGGCTCACGCCTGTAATCCCAGCACTCTGGGTGGGCTGAAGTGGTGGATCATCTGAGGTCAGGAGTTTGAGACCAGCCTGGCCAACATGGTGAAACCCCATCTCTACTAAACATACAAAAAATTAGCTGGGCATGGAGGCGGGCACCTGTAATCCCAGCTACTTGGAAGGCTGAGGCAGGAGCATCACTTGAACTCAGGGGGCAGAGGTTGCAGTGAGCCAAGTCCGCACCATTGCACTCCAGCCTGGGCAACAAGAGTGAAACTGCATCTCAAACAAAACAAAACCAAACCTCTCAGCTAGTACTGTCAAACAAAAAGAGGTATTTTTAAAATGTGAGATTACCAAAGAGTTTTGAAATGAAGAGCAAAAATAAAAAAAAGATTAACAGATTAGAAGAAAAAAATACAAAAAGAAACAATTCAATGACAAGCAGGTAAAAGCTCAGCAATAATCAAGCTCATTACACAGAAATTTCATGGGTAAAAAATGATAACAGAAGCACATCTTTAGAAAAGTGGGTTTTAAAAGTTCAGAAGGGCATTTTCCTGAAATTATTTCCCCAGATAAAATGGTTTTGAGATGATTATTTTCCTACAAAATTTCCCATTTTGACCCCATGCAATTCTATCCATTTATAGAAAGATTTCTTGTTTTTACAATCTATGTAGAAAAAACTAAGTTTTAAAATAAGACTAAGGAAATTCATTTTGCTAAATAAAAAACACCTGAAATCAACTTGTGCCGATTCTTGGAGAATTAAAACAGCAGTCAGCAAAGTCTGAAGTCTTCTCAGAAGATCTCTGAATATCCAGACAGGAAACAAATGGCCTCAGGAACACAGAAGTTCTTTTCATTTCTTTCCAATGGAAGGTGTTGATTGAGAAAGTAAAAAAAAAAAACAAAAACCACAAGTGAACAGCTGGCTGCATTGATAGACCTTAGACACTAGAAATTGGTTATCAATATAAAAGAGCCCCTCAAAAGCAAAGAGAAAACAGGCCTCAGAGGAGATTCTCCAGTCTAAGCAACAGAACTTCAAATCAATTCGAGAAAAAAAATCCAGATTGACTCTAAATGTAACTTCTTTCAGGGCAGTGGATGTGACAGTCAGTTGGACTCAGGCAAAGTATTAAGAAAGTTGACCAGTGACAATGGTACAGAGACTGCATACCAACCCACATACACACAGTTGCCACACAGAGAGTAAATAAATGGGGCTTCACATAGGGCAGTGATGCGTAGTACAAGGACATTTGTACCTGGGTGAGGCAAGTCAAAATGATCCTTTGTTCCAGAGAGAGAAGGTGACAAAGAACCCTGAAAGTTAAAATATGTATCTCTTCCTGGAAAGTGGCAGAACTGAGTCTGATGGCCAGGTGGTGAGTGCTAGGATAAAAATATAAGGATAGGATGACAAATGATATTTTGAGGTATTATCCTAGGGTGGCCTGGTCACATGCAGTGTCCAGGTGGTGATTTCCAAATAGAAATGAGAAAATGAACACAGAGGAGTGACTCAACAGGGGTGACTCAACGCTCTGCTAGAATTCAGTCTGATAAACACCAACAGCTGATTCTGGCTTCACGTGTTGTGCTGAAAATTCATCTTCTCAGAAAACAAAGAACAAATGCCATTCCAAATCATAATGCAGAAGAGATGGCAATCTGGGGAGAAAACAGGTGTTCCCATTATTTTGGGAGGAAATACATGTTCTCATTATCTTGAGAGAAAGGATAGGCATAGACCTATGCAGGCCCTGGACTTCAGAAAGGATCATTTTGGCCGGGTGTGGTGACTCATGCCAGTAATACCAGCACTTTTGGAGGCTGAGGCGGGTGGATCACTTGAGGCCAGGAGTTTGAGACCAGCCTGGCCAACACAGCAAAACCCAATCTCTACTAAAAGTATAAAAAAAATTTAGCTGGGCATGGTGACACATGCCGGTTATCCCAGCTACTTGGGACACTGAGGCAGGAGAATTGCTTGAACCTAGAAGGAGGAGGCTGCAGTGAGCCGGGATAATAGAGGGGGGAAAAAAAAGAAGGAACATTTCAAACATACAGAGGGACAGGAAAAAAAAGACAACTAACACACATGGTAAGTTCTAGGATAACAAACCCTACAATAAAATTCCTTTGCAAAGTAACGAGAGAATCTAAAGGAAATCAATCATGAATGATCTCAATGACAGAAAAAGGAAGAAAATCCCTCCCCAACCCCTATTTTAGGAGGATATGCACAGTAGAAGGAAGAGGATGCCAACTCAGGTGATCAGTAGCACGTCCAGGATACTCAAAATCAGAACAAGCAGAGTATACCAGAGTAAAAGAGCTAAAGACAGTGCAAAGGGCTTTTCCCAATACCAGTTGAATATCTATCTCTTTTTCAAAATGAGTGGGACCAGACGTGTTTTAGATTTTTGATTTTTTTTCAGATTTTGGCATATTTGTATTACACTGTTTGAGCATCTGAAATAAAAAAAATCCAAAATACTCCAATCAGCATTTCTTTTCTTTCTTTCTTTCTTTTTGAGACAGAGTTTTGCTTGTTGCCCAGGCTGAAGTGCAGTGGCAATCTGAGCTCACTGCAACCTCTGCCTCCCAGGTTCAGACAACTTTCCTGCCTCAGCTGCCTGAGTAGCTGAGATTACAGGCATCCACCGCCATGCCCAGATAATGCTTTGTATTTTTAGTAGAGATGGGTTTCACCATGTTGGCAAGGCTGGTCTTGAACTCCTGGCCTCAAGTGATCCATTCACCTCAGCCTCCCAAAGTGCTGGGATTACAAGTGTGAGTTATTGCGCCCAGCCATCCAATGGCATTTCTTTTGAGCATCATTTAATGATCAAAAAGTTTCAAATTTTAGTAGATCACTTGGGATCTTGGATTTTCAGATTTGGGATACTCAACCTATACTTTCAAAATATGGAGACATGTCTACAACTTACAGAAACTAATTTCACGTTATAGTGGATAGCAAGAAAATAGGGGTTCATAATACCTATGTTATCTATCACTCTCCTCAGTAAAGAGAATAGTGAACAAACTATAGCAAGTGGAACAAGGTGAAGTGAGAGAACACTGAGGTTCAGGATAGCTCAGAAGTTAATGTGATGACTAAGTGCTTGGCCTTCTTAAATGGTCCTGGTTTGAGTCTCCAGGACCAGAATTATAACTCATGATGTTAAGTGAATCTGCCCTTTTGAGGAATTATGGATAGTAAGGTAGAAACCAGACTGTTTAAGCATAAACGGTCATAAAAGGTAAATAATGAGTAAACTTTTTCAGGAGATAAACACTGGGATTTGTAAATTGCAGACTAGAAAGCCGTATGTTAATTTTGTATAGAATTTTAAAGAAACATTACAGACATTTGTACATGTTTATACAAGCATGAAGTAAATCTCTGGAGACAACATGGACTTTCTAACACAAAATTATATTAACTTAAGCTTTTTTTTTTGCTGACATGATTGGTAAGCTTTTTTTTCTAACGTGATTGATAACTGGGGAACTGCTATAGACGTAAAGGACTTTTAACTTCATCAGAACGTTTGATTTTCTACCTGTCGAGTTTTACTTCTCATCAGATAAGAAAAGGACAATGAAAAAAATAAGTAAGAAATAAATGTGTTAAGATGGTGGTGGTGTGACTGTTCTTGCCATTAACATTTTTCTCCTGTTTACTGTTGTAATACTAATTGTGTTTATAACTTAAGAAAAAATTAGATGTATAGATTCAGTACTCATGTATAAATACAGGAGTTCATATAACTACATAATTTCTACAGTCTAGTCAATTACCAAAAATGTGGATTCTGCTTTTTGGGGAACAGAGTGGGAAAACAACTTTTTTTTTTTTTTTTTTAAGAAATGGGATTGATCTTGACTTCTCACATGAATTAATGAGAAGATGTAATTACTAAACTGCATTAAAAGAAGAATGCTGTATTTCACGAAGGAGGTAATAGTGTAAACATAGACGTTCTCTACTGGCTGGAGGGTATGTGAGGTGCTATGTTCTAATATGGTTGCTTTAAGAGGGATGCTGACCAAATAAAGTATGTCCAAAAGACAGCAACTGGAATGGTGAAAGAATACAGAAATCATAATAGAAAAACAGGTGAAGGATTTGGAGAGTTTTTCTCTTGGATATAAAACTAGAAAACTAATGATTTCCTTCAAATACATAAAAGTGTTATTGCATGGAAGAGAGATGAATGGTGGTACAGATAACTGGAAACTAGCAGGTGACAGATATTTTGCTCAATATAGGAAAAAACATCAACTCACGAAGCTGGCTGTGAGCTGCCCATCAACAGAAGTATTCAAACAGAGGTGGTATAAGCATCTGTTGGGATAGGAGAGGCTGGAGAAAAGCTCTTAGGTCTTCTTCAAGGATTTGAGGGATTACAATTTCTTGATTTTAACTCTTATTTCCACCTCCTTAAATTAAGAAAGTTCTCAATGAAAATGAAATATACCATCTGAGAATAGTGATTGGTGTTTCCCAAACGAATCTACAAATTCCATGGCTGTTAATAGGCATGCTGTATTCAAATAAGGTTGAGAAGCACTGTATATGACATGCCGTATTTGGAGATTTTATTCGCAGTGCACACTGGCCTTAATCCAGCTATTTTTCAAATACTGCTACTGATGCTCAGTCTCACAGAAACCTTAATGTGATGCAAGCCTAAATTTCTTCTGGAAAAAAAAAAAAAGCTTAGATTTCTTTCAGGAATTGATTAGCAAAAGAACCTTCCTTAAAAGGAGGTAATTAACCACATATTGACTCAAAGGGCCTCAGGGTTAGAGGAAACTTAATCATTTGGCTGACTCTCTCATCCAAGGCTCAATCCTCCTTTATATTCTCTTCACTACTGAAACAGTTCCTTGATCTCGAGAGAATAAGACAACTACTGTGTGCCAGGTGCTGTTCTAGGCATTGTATTTAACAAGTTGTGTTATCCTAATCTTCACAATCTGTATGAATTATTATCCTCTTTATAAGTAGAGAAAGTAAGTCTTAATGAACTAATATTAGCCAAAAGTCCAAAGAGGTACTTAGTGCCAGTGCTTCATGTCTCCTGAGATCTTAAAGTCTGCTTCTCCCAAATAAGAAAAATCAGAAATTGGATTTGATAGAATGATTAGCAGTGAATAAAGCCACAAATAATTTTCTTTCTTAGAACCCAGAATTCACAAAAGCCCTTTTGTGTTATAAGAATGCTACCTTATTCTTTGATCATTTTCAGAACAACTTTGGTTACGCAGACTGATATGCTTATTTGCTTGATACACAATACTGCAAAGATTTGGATGGTAACACATATGAGCAGTTTAACCTTCAGTTAGCAGACATTTCATCACAGAAAGGATTCTGTTACTTGCAAAAAAAAGATCTTTAGTAGTCATGTTTTTTCCCTCTCAAGATTTTAATATCTAAGGTATCTGGCTTTCAAAGATCTTAGTTTCTCTTAGTAAATCTGAAGATGGTATAGCTTCTGCAAAACATACCAAAAAAGTTTAAGAGTTGGGGTTTGCCAGGTGTGGTGGCTGATGCCTGTAATTCCAGCACTTTGGGAGGCCAAAGTGGGTGGATCACTTGAACTCAGGAGTTCGAGACCAGCCTGGGCAACATGGTGAAAACATGTTGTTTCACATGGTGAAAACAACATCCATCTCTACAAAAAATACAGAAAAATTTAGCTGCATATGGTGGCATGTGCCTGCAGTCAACAACTACTTGAGAGGCTGAGGTGAGAGGATCACATGAGCCTGGTAGATGGAGGTTGCAGTGAGCTGAGACTGAACCACTGCACTCCAGCTGGGGTGATGGAATGAGACCTGTCTCCAAAACAAAGGTTTGGGTCTAGGAGACTTCACTGTTATTCAGGGCATGTCTCACTATCTTTACCTTTTCTTCCTTACCAAGAACATCACTGGTGGCCATGATCTCACATGTGTACATAGCTGCGATCAGGCGCTGAGGTTTCACTTGCAGTGCATAGTGACGTGCTTCTTTCATGGTGGCAATTAGCTGTCCTGAGAAAGGTCCATAGCAGTCAGTGAGTGCAGAGTCTTTCTGGGATGTCCTCTTCTCCAAGGCCTCAGAGCAGCCATCTTGTAGCTCTTGGTTTTCATTTCCCCCAGAACAGGTTCCATTTTCCTCCTGTCCCTCTTTGGCCAGATCACTTCCTCCTTGTTCCTCAAATTTACTTAGGTCCCATTTTTCCAGAATGAAACAGACACCCATGAGAGGGTCCTCACTCATGGGGCCACAGAAAGTTGCTTGTTGGAAGCCACTCACAATGCTGTTTCCCAAATCTCGGTATCTACTGGCTTCTTTTGAAGCTTTGTCAGCTGGACCTGTCCATACTGAGTTCTGAAAATCTTCACTTTTATTCACTAGCATGTTGGGCCCACATTTTCTTGGGCTGAATAACCAGACTTGGTCAACAATATTCCTCCATCTTCTCCCTGTCAGGTGTTGCTCCAGTTTTCCTCTGAATTCCAAAATTTTCTCTTGGGTCTTTTGATAAATCATCTGAGTATTTTCGCCCTCATTCAAAGAGGATGTCAACTGCTCCATAGAACGAATCAAATCACTATTTTCTTCCAGAATCTGAGTGACTTCTTCTGGAAGGGGCATGGCTCGAACACTGAGCATGGCAAATTTATTGGGAGTTGTTATGGTGATCAGCCCGTCAGAGTCAACTTGGATTCCCTCAGGGATTTTACTTTGATCTTCTTTTGTTTGGTGTATGACTGCAACTTTTTGCTGTTTGCCTATTTCTTCATTGACCATGTCAACCTTTGGGGGTTTTGTAATTGTTTCTCTGAATGGAATAATGGGTTCAGATACACTGATATAAATCTTGGCAAACCTACAGACAAATTCAAGATAAATAACAGAAGGTTAAAATCCAAATATGATCAAAGCTCCCATGTAGAAATATCACACAGTGGAGATTCTGCAAAAACACAGGAACATAAAAATTATCTTACTATAAAAGACCTGCAATTTACATTATATCACAATTCAAAAACTGCTTTCTTTCTGATTGAAAAGACTACTTCTAGTGGGAATATACCTCTGCTGTGGGCAGCAGCTACTCTTCTGGACACCGTAGGTCTTGAGCCCCAGTCTGGCACCAAGTTCAGAAAGCCTCTTTTCCCACACAATATCAAGTCTGATATCGTCGTATACTGCATATTCACAATCTTGTTGTATATTCACAGGATATACAACAAAGATGGACCTGACATTGTACGTTTTTAAAACTACTTTGATATTCAAACCTGAGAAAGACAGTATCCATACACACAACTGTAGTTCAATCTTACCTAAGAATTCAGATATAAAATCTAAAATAACAAAAACTATAAATATGCATTGTGTGTGCATTAAAAAAAAACTTATCATGTATGAGGCACTGTGTTAAGTATTTTACATGTAGTATTTCTTTAGCAGGCACTAGTACTACCATAATTTTATAGAGAAAACCAGATAAGAAACATTAAGTAACTTCTCCAAATAGCCTGTAAGTGGAGAAGCTAGGATTCAGATTTAGGTCTGACCAGAATCCACACTCTCAGTCATTATGCATACTGAAAAATAGAGTTAAATAGTACATTAAAGGAATAGTCTACCATAAAACTAGGAAGTTTTTATCATAGGTTATATAAAAATTAATCTGAATTAGGAGAATTGCTAAAATAATACCACATTAAAAAAAGGTCAAATAATCTATGTAGCCACCTTTAATTATGCTAAATTGCCAATTAATAAGATTCAATATCTATTCTTGATTTTAAGAAAAAAGACACTGAGAAATCTTAGGAATAGGAAAATATCTGTAAAATTATCATTGCATAGAGAAAAATAAGCTCACATACTTAGAACACTCAAGAAAATCAACTGCAAAGCTACTGAAACTATGAGAGAGAACACATCTACGTTCTTATTCCTAAAACATAAAGTCAAAAGAGCTATAGAGCCACTTTAGTCCTCCCAATTCTTGAGGCTCCCAAGAATTCTCCTGTAGTAATTATTTATATGATTAATTAAAACCACCCCAAGCTGTGGAAGGAAGTGTGTGATGGCTGCCACACTTACAAAGCACCTCAGGGCAAAAGGTTCTCTAAGTCCTGGCAATGCAGAGCCTGTGATTACTCTACAAAAGTGCAGTAGGTTCAGGCTACATCACAGCAATTTCCTGTGGCTTCCTGCTCTGATTGTTACTACCTTGAGATCTGGATGCTAAGAATTCTGACAGTTTCTCTGGCCTGGGGACAACAGATAGTCTCCTTGTCTCCCATTCCTGGACAAAATCCATTCCTGAAAATGTGCACAGAAGTTGAAAAAGAAGATTACATACTACTCCTAAAAAAAAACAAACCTGTAACATTATATACATTCTTAATGTAAGTATAACTGTGAAATGTAATGGTCAAACAGAACAGTGCACAAAACAAAAATCTACTCAACTATGATCGCTTACCTCAAAGTGAATACTCATGTAAACTACATGGTATACTCAAGAAACAGAACACTCCTAGCCCTAAGAGGGCTATCCTGATTTTTATTGTAATATCCTTTTTTTCTTAATCACCTAAACATGTAACCCCTATACTCCACAGTTCAGTTTGGACTGCCTTTTTTCCTTTTCTTCTTTTTAAAAACAGGGCCTTGGTATGTCACCCAGGCTGGAGCACTATGGTGTGATTATAGTTCACTGCATCCTCAAACTTCTGTGCTTAAGCAATCCTCTTGTCTCAGCCTCCCGAGTAGCTGGTATTACAGGCATGCACCACCTGCTCAACTAATTTATTTTAATTTTTTCAGAGACGTGGTCTTGCTATGTTACCCAGCCTGGTACACTATGTTTTGAACTTCATATAAATGCAACAAACACGTTTTGGGACAAATGGCTTCTTTTGCTTAACATTATATTGTGAGATTCACCCATATTTTATATAGCTGTAGTTTTGTTCACTGAGATCATTCTATAGAATTCCATTGTATGAATACACTATCATTTATATTTCCATTTAAATGTTTGAGTTGTTTCCAACTTTCGACTATTAAAATTTTGTTACCATGAGGCAAGGTGCAGTGGCTCATGCCTATAATCCCAGCACTCTGGGAGGCTGAGGTAAGCAGATCACTTGAGGTCAGGAGTTCGAGACCAGCCTGGCCACCATGGTGAAACACTGTCTGTACTAAAAAATACAAAACACAAAAATTAGCTGGGCGTGGTGGCACATGCCTGTAGTCCCACCTACTCAGGAGGCTGAAGCAGGAGAATTGCTTGAGCCCAGGAAGTAGAGGTTGTAAGCTGAGAGTGCACCACTGCACTCCTGCCTAGGTGACAGAGAGAAACTCCATCTCAAAAAGAAAAAAATATGGTTGCTATGAGTATTCTTGATACACATTTGCCTAGCTTTGTGTTGGTTGCACAGAGCACAAATGGGAGATTTGCCAAGCCACAGGAAGTGCCTATCTCCCATCTGAGCAGATCATACCAAATCATATGCCAAAATGGTTGTATCAATTTATATCCCCACTAGTTGTACAGGTAAATTCTTGCTGCTCAACATCTTTGCCACCACTGGATAATATCACTTAAAAAATGTTTAACCACTCTAGTGGGTATGCAGAAGTATCTCACTTTGATTTTAATTTGCATTCCATCAGTTAGTAATAAGTTGAATAGTTTTTCATGTTTATTGGCCTTGGAAAGCCTCTGTTATAAAGTACCTCTATCAAGTATTTGTATAATTTTTTTGTTGGATTGCTGCTCTTCTCATTTATCTGTAGGAATTCCTTCTAAATTGGGATATAAATCTCCTGTCTGTTACATGATACAAAGGTCTTCCCTAACCATGTGGTCTGCCTACTGTCTTAATAGTGTCTTTTGATGATCAAGCTTTTCCTTTGTCATTAGTATTCTTAATACACTATTAAGATGCTTTTCCCTACCCTGAGGTCTTGAAGATATTCTCTTATTCTATCTTCTAGACACTTTATGGTTTTACCTTTTACATTTTAACCTACAATCGATTTGAAATAAATTTCTGAGTAAATTATGAGTTAGGGGTCTAGTTTCTGGCTTCTGGTAGAAGCTTCTACAAAATCCCACAAAAAAGCAGCAGCAGTTATTCTTATTCTTTTTCTTTTTTTGAGACGGAGTCTTGCTCTGTTGCCAGACTGAAGTGCAGTGGCATGATATCGGCTCACTGCAATCTCCACTTCCAGGGTTCAGGTGATTCTCCTGCCTCAGCCTCCTGAGTAGCTGGGATTACAGGCACACAGCACCACAACTAGCCAATTTTTTATTTTTAGTAGAAACAGGGTTTCACCATCTTGGCCAGGCTGGTCTTGAACTCCTGACCTCGTGATCCATCCGCCTCGGCCTCTCAAAGTGCTGGGATTACAGGCATGAGCCACTGCATCCAGCTAGCAGCAGTTACTCTTATTCTATTATTAGTAGCAGGTATTGTTGTACAGTTACAACTACCACCAATTTTACTGTGGTATATTAAGATAAATATTGTTTAACCCAGTGACTGTTATATAATATTTAATTATATCAATCATTTATAATTACTTGTTATGATTATTATTAAAGTCCCAGAAATTTTAAAAACAAAAGGAAGGAGGCCATTGTAGGGAAATTTATAATTTTTCCCACTAGTAGGCACAGAAATGTCTATTAACAGTGAACATCTTTTATTTGTCTTTAAGATTAGAGAAAATTTTTTAAAATGATAAACTATGCAATGTTGGCAAAAGTTTGAGAAAAGAGGCACTTTCGAATATTTATTGCTATTATAATGCAAATCAGAACAGCCTTTCTTGAGGAAAATATGGATCATAACCCTTAAAAATATGTACACTTTTGGAGCTAGCTATAATACTTCTAGAAATTTATCTTAACCAAATAAACAGAACTGTGTATACAGATATTTATGTACATTTGCATATGAATAGGACAGTGTGGATTTATGAATCTGAATGTACTGGTGGTTATTTCTGCCTGATAACTGAATGACTTTTCTTCCGTATTTTTCTAATTTCTGCAACAAACATACATTATCTTTGGAACAAAGAGGAAAAATGTCTGCTACAAAAAGTAATTTGGGATGTCCATCTTATAATCATCTTCAGAGAAAACTGTAAAGATTTCCAGAAGATGTACATTGTAAAGGCCACATGTAGTTTTGTTCACTGAGATCATTCTATAGAATTCCATTGTATCAATACACTATCATTTACTTATATATCTAGAAGTCTATTCCAATTACATAGCCAACATTTACAAAATAATATTTTGTTTTGTTGTCCTGATATTTTGTGTGTTTTGTGTACATGCTTAAAGTAGAATACATACACAGAAAAACATTTTATGACTTAGGTAAAAATGCAAAAGCATTCAAGTGTAAGCAGTGAATGCCATTTTTCGGTTATTAAAAAGTCTACAATCAAATAACTGTTCATGTTTGAATTGAGGGCATTTCATTTTTCTCCAAAAAGAAGTCATAGTCTAAGTTCAGCTTGTTTAGGAAATACTAAAACATCCCATTAATTGAGAGCGATCATTTCTCCATCTCCATCATTTTCACCTAACCTTTCTTTTAAGTCATCCAGGCATTGCTGAAGGTGAACTTCTCCTGCTGTGACTAAAACGTGCTCTCCCATTTCCTGAATTAAAATCTGGACGGGATCAGCCTGGTTTAAGTTTCATTCCTTTTACGAGCTGAGGCATTTCACCTAGGTTAACAAAATGAAACAGATTAAATAACATATAAGAACTAACACAATTCAAAGACATCAGCTCTGGCTAGTGAAGGAAAAATTACATTGAAATAAACTCTTAAAATAACAATTTATTTTTCTTCCAGATAGTGTAGCGATGTGAAGAAAACTACCTTCTAGTAATTTTTTTGTACAGAGAGCAAAGATGACACATTTGCAAGCTTATCATCAAGACTCCCAAAGCTGATCTACATCACTTCTTCTAATACTCTGCAGATATAAGCTACCATCTTTCTACTTGAGAATTCACCTAAATCTTTTAACAAATGTACACATTCTATCCCCTAGAAACGAATTTCTTCAAACATCACCCATAAAATTGACAAACAAGCAAAAGAAACATTTAATATCATATTCAAGAAACTGTACCAGAGCCTCATATTAAAAATAATTATTTGTGAAACTGTTTGATAGAACTTGAGTTTTAGAATGCCCTAACTAGCTACTTTATCCAGTAAGCTAAAGGCATCTTCTGCATTGTATTCTGTATGTGTTTTTCACACATAATTGCTTCCCTACAGTTCCTAGGATTTAAAAGTAGAGATGGGGGCTGTGATGACCTATATCTTGGGTTTTGCTACTTTTTTCACCCTCTTTCCACATACTCAACTGCTACTGCTCCCTCAAGGCAGGTCCAAGGAAGTCTCTTGCAGCTGCCTTAGCGAAGACCTTAGTCTTGAAGGCATTTTTATGCAGTCTTGTTTCAATTCTACATTTGAAGAAAAGACTCAGCGATTCCTCAATGCTTGGTTTTCAGCATGCCAAACACACAAAATCACAGGAGTTTTCTGCAATGCAATAATTTTCAACATGCCTTACAAAAGTTGATTAACTGGGGCAGGAAGAGAATATTAGAACTTCTATACCTATTTATATTTGAAATAAAGTTCTAATAACAATAACATTTCATAGTACTAACAATGTGCCAGACAAGCACTTTACATACCCAAGCTCATTAACGATGAGGCACTATGATTATTGTTCTCATTTTATAGATGAGGAAACAGATGTAGAGAAACTAAGAAATTTGTGTTCAAGGTCCCAGACTGACTAAGTGGCAGAACCTGGTTCAGAAGCTGGGCAGAGAGCCATGGAGCCCATGCTCTATGGATGGATGTCAGCACCCTCAAGGTAATCATAAGCCACATATAGGATGCAAAGAATCCCGAAGGAAGACAGGAAGTAAGATTTCCCTGTGTCCAGGGTTGACAGAGGCACCTTCATTTGTTCCTTTTCAGCAGACTGTAGTTTTCTTTTGCCTAATTAAGTGGATTTACAGATATTATGTAATGTTAACTAAGCCTTCATAGAATTTGAAACCTGGCTTAAAAGGATTCCTGCAAAAACATCACTGATAATACTTTAATACTAATAACACAAGCACATGGGAATAATAAAAAGAGAAATGGCAAAGTTTTTTGTCAGCTCTCCATCAACCAAATTATAAAATTAAAACAATGGCTATCACTAAGATGAGATCCCAACAAATATTTTAGAAAAAATATATAGACTTAAATCTGTCTCTTCAAGGTAAAATAAAGGTAACAGTTTAACAGTAAGAGAAGTTTGTTTGTTTGTTTTTAAAGAAATTTGAAACATGGAGACAACATTTTGAAATTAGGTATTTGAAAACGTTGCCACTGACAGTCCTTTGGTTGCCAAAGATAACATAAATACTTCATGTATAATGTATAAAACCTCTTAACATTTGAAAATGATTTTCTTAACCTATTCTTATAATCACATGGATAGTTCAATAAAGATGTAAGAATTAACAAAGCTTCTAATTAGTGTAAGAAAAATAAACTGCCATCAGGAAAAGTAGATATTCACTATCTGTATTTTATCAAAACCTTTTAATAATTGGGAAAATGGGATTCTGAAATGGACACCGTGATTTAGTAAAGGAAGGCAACGAATCATTCTTCCATTTGGAGTATGCAACTTTGTGAGGTGCCTTTGCCAGTGATAATGATTATTAAAATCAAATGTTTTAACAAACAGAACCTAGAAGCAGACCTTGGAATGGCTATATCACAAAGCGTTCAGGCAAGATCTTCACAAAGAAGAAACCATTAGTGTGGCAGCCAGCCTCCAAGATGGTCCCAATCATCCTTGCCTCCTGCTGGTCACATTCCTGTGTAGTTCTCTCCAACAGTGAATCAAGGCTGACCTGTGTGACCAACCGAACACTGTGGAAAGGATGATGTGTGAGTCCCAGGGCTAGTTCACAAAAGGCATTACAGCTTCTGCCTTAGTGTTTTGAAATGCTGGCTGCAGCCAATCACCACGCTATGCTGCAGGACACTCGGTTATGTGGAGAGAAACTGAGGTCCCCAGCCAGCACCAACCTGTGAGCCCGTACACTCAAGGTGATATGTGACTACAACTACTTGAAAGACTGATGCTGAACCCTTCCAAATTCCAGACCAAGGGAACTGTGAAAAATAAGTGATTGTTGTTTCAAGCCACTGAATTTTGAAGTAATATGTCACATAGCACTGAATAACTAAAACAATTATAAGCCACAATCACAAATAAATACTATATATGCTTATAAGTACATAACATATGTATCTTCGTCAAATACAAATAAAATTAGGTATTTTATCTCCATTTTTTAAAAATTTCTATTTTTGTGTTTCATAATGTATAAAAAACATCAACAGAAAAATTCCTGTATCTATATAAGCACTGGTATCAAAACATTTTTTTAATATGGATAAAGGATAAAATAATTCTAGACACAAATTGATCTGATCTCAGATAAATAGGATTTCTTGAATTCCTACAAGTGAAGATCCAGCACTGTCTCCGAGGCAGAGATCTGAACCCGACTTCAGTGCTTCCTAACTGTATGGCATTGGGCAAATTAGTTAAATTCTCTAAGCTTCAGTTTCCCTCATGTGAAGATGAGAATAAAAAGAGTATCCTAATGAACAGGGCTTTTAGGGGGATTAGATGAGATAATGTAAAATCCGTAGTACAGTGTGTGGCATACGTAAGGATCAATTGTCATGAAGAACCTAATAGTTGCTTTGGAACATTTGTAGTTCTCTGTGTTGAGTTTGCAGTTGACCTGTGGGCATGAAGTAGAGGGTGGCTGCCACAACATTTTCACCACCACTTGGGAAATTAGAGAAAGAAAAGTGGAAGAAGAAATGCTCACGATCTGCTTCTCCCAGAAAGAAGAGAAGCAAATTATTGTCTTCTGGATTAGTTAATCTAGTTGTCTTAACGAAAAGGAAGAAAGGATCTGGGGATATGTGGTCTACTCAAGAAAAACAATGGATGTGTCCAGTGCCTCTCAGAGGCAGTATTACTGGGCGTCCTATAAGAGAATGAAATATACCAATAGTCATCACACATGTAACCTATGAATAAAGTGGTCACTGCCCCAAAGTAAGGATGAGCCTAGTTACTAAGGCAAAGAGTAAACAGACAACGAATATCCTCTGAAAGCTCACAGGAACAAAGAAGGGAAGTTTCCTCAGATATTCTGAATGTAAAATAACATGTGGACAATGTAAAAACACCAAGAAGACAAAACAGAGTATAAAGTTCAGACAATGAAAAATCATATGGGTGCTTCCATAACACAGTCAATAAATGCATGGTAAATCGAGTAAAAACAATATACTTAATGGGGAAAAAGAGCGAGACTGCTTTTAAAGTTATGAAGAAAATTATGTGCTCCTTCTAACTTTTAGCTTAATTTTTTAAAAAGTTCAGGTAACTTTAATGAAAACACACATAAGGAAGTACACTTTGGCCTCCAAACTGATAATCCTGAATAATTCTATTTATTAGACTATCTCATTTATGGAAAGGAAAGGAAGTTAATCTTACTATGAGTCAGCTATAGGACAGGAAATACTCTAGTTACTAAAATCCCTCATCTCATGTAGCCAGTGCTTCAAAAAAGAAGGTTCTTTAGGTTTGGGCTTTTACTTAGCTTGCATAACAGAGACCACAGACTAGCATATAACCATAACAGAGCCTTTAAAAAATTATCAATTTCCATTATTAAAATATCACATCTTAGGCCAGGCACAGTGGCTCATACCCGTAATCCCAGCACTCTAAGAGGCTGAAATGGGAGGACTCCTTAAGCTCAAAAGTTTAAGACCAGTCTGGGCAACATAGGGAGAACCCATCTACAAATAATACAAAAAAATTAGCTTGGCGTGGTGACATGTATCTGTGATCCCAGCTGTGATACCAGCTACTCGGAAGGCTGAGGCAGGAGGATCATGTGAGCCCAGGAGGTCAAAGCTGCAGTGAGTGTGACTGTGACTGAGCCACTGCACTCCAGCTTGGGTGACAGCGAGACCCTGTCTCAAAATAAATAAACAAAATAAATTATGGCTTATATTATTATTGTTTCCTATTTTTAAAATACATGTGCAAATGCCACAGAGAAAAACCAAATAAGAAAGAATATACAAATAAATAGTAGAAGCATCTAAGAATAAGCCATGGTTGCCAGACTCAACTATCACAACTTAAATAAAACTGAGCTTTTTTCTATGTATTTCTTAGGAATGAACACAGTAGACAGTGGTTAGAGCCAGCCTAGTGAGTCGATTAAAAGAACAAAATCGGCCGGGCGCGGTGGCTCAAGCCTGTAATCCCAGCACTTTGGGAGGCCGAGGCGGGTGGATCACGAGGTCAACAGATCGAGACCATCCTGGTCAACATGGTGAAACCCCGTCTCTACTAAAAATTACAAAAAAATTAGCTGGGCATGGTGGCGCGTGCCTGTAATCCCAGCTACTCAGGAGGCTGAGGCAGGAGAATTGCCTGAACCCAGGGGGCGGAGGTTGCGGTGAGCCGAGATTGCGCCATTGCACTCCAGCCTGGGTAACAAGAGCGAAACTCGGTCTCAAAAAAAAAAAAAAAAAAAAAAAAAAAAGAACAAAATCATAATAGGCCAGGACCTGAACAAGCCTAAA